TAATACTCTTACCATTTGAAGACAAGTTGGAAATCCGTAGGAAGTTTTTGGAAAAAGATCCGATTTTTAAGGCAGCTAAAAATTTTGATTTTCGGCTCCGAACCTTATCTGGATCACGACATAGATGGATCCTTGGTGGTCTCTTCGTAGAGCTTGCCTCGCTCTATCAAAAGGTACCCTTAGAACAACTAGTTTATTTGAAAATGGAGTTTACTTTTGAGACATCCTAATACATAACCGAACATAACCCTCATTTTTGAAAATTTTTGTGATATTAAAATTCATTTTGTTGCGGCTCGGTGGGCTCTGCGCCCCCTCACCTCGTGCTCGACTGCCATACGCCTCAGCTCCTGTCCCCGAAGGACTCCCGCCACTGCGGGTGCGCGCTAACGCGCAGTGGCGCGTCACGCCTACTCTAGACACGAGACGATAAAAATATACAAATTTACTAAACAAATACGCACAAAAAATACACGATATAAACAAATACGAATGTACTTACCACGGGGAGAGTTAAGCTCTACCCCGGGCTACCGATGAGGACTCTCACTTACTCACACTCGCGCGCTAACATAATCACACACACTCCCGACATCTAAGGGAGCTACCCACAGGCCGGCCGCGCGCCGCCAAGGCAGCAGCTACGGCACGGCAACACCGACCCCGTGATAAACAACATCAAACAAAGCTCCCAACAAATCCTGCGCGACCGAAGCGCTTCGAGATATTCGTCATCCTGGAATTCCATCCTCGCGCGTACATCCAAACAATACATCAACGATCCATCCAATCGCGCGAGGCACGGGGATGTAGACACGACGACGATATCGTAGAGACCCAACCAATCGATAATAAAGGCGGCACGACGATAATAGTAAGATGACAAGACGAGAGAAGAGCCGCACTGCGCGTACGCGCTATTTATGGCGGTGGCTGGAGGCGTGCCTACATGGTGTGGTCTCGGAGCGAAAGCCGCACTGGCGCGCGTACGCGCTATTTATAGCGGTGGCTGGAGGCGTGCCTACATGGTGTGGTCTCGGAGCGAACAGGGTAGCCGCCGTAAAGCGCGGCGACCGTGCCCACGACCGAGACGCGCGGCAACAAGGTGCTCCCGGCCACATGCTGTGAGGAGCGGTCGATCGCGAGCCGCGACACATTTCGAATTAGAGGGTATGAGTCCATAAGTTGTCACTTTATTGAGATTATCACCCCCTTTTCGTGGGATGCGCTAGGGAAAAGCTGAATTCAATGCTACTATGATTTAGGCTTTCATTGCTAGCATTCGCTTGTTTTGTTAAGCAAGAATTGTCTAAATAAGAAACAAAAGGTTTCTTCGTGCATCTGTATTGCTCTGACAATGATGGTTCCAGACTGTTCCGTGATCCTTTCCTAAGACACGCACAAAACTCCGTTCAGTGGAAATTGCGCATTATCGACAAGAAGGCGGAAGCAAGAACAATTATTTCTCCATGATGACTAGCACCACCCTGAAGATCAAACTATCTGACAGCCACTGAACAAGATGGGCAGTCGCCCGAAAGTTTCTTGTCGCTAAATCTGTCTCAGTGACACTTTAAATAAGAGCGATTTTTTTCAGTTTTTTTTTCAAAGTAAACGCTTGTTTGATACCACTTTACTACCTGCTGCTAATATTTCCAAGTATGGCCATTACTAATCTGACGCTGGCCTGATTAGCAAGACGCAGATCTACAAAATATGACATAAGGTTAGCTGTATTTTCAATAGCAGCATTCCTCACCGGTCTACGAAAGACAATGTGATATTATCTACTGTGAGCAATGCTTTCAGTGCATGCCCGCTGTGAGTACTGAACGCAGCGTTCAGGCAGAATCTCGATTTCTATCTATTTCTGCCTCATCCACGCATTTTCATGGTGCTGATTCAAAATATTGCACTCAAAAAGCGTGAATTCCTCAAAAACCCCCTTTTTTGAGCCAATTTTGTGAAAACTTGGATGAGTGCTGTTAATGTTATCCTTGTCGAGAGCAAGCGTTTAACAGGTAGAAACTATGTGTTTGACTGTGTTTGCCACGTAAAAACACTTCAAGGGTTGAGGAGAGTTCGTTCAAGGGGGCGGGCCGTGCGAGGGAGTGGGTGTGGTCTTCGAGGCTCGGCGTTTTTTGCGCCGATTTTCTTTTTTTTACAGGGGTGTTTGAAATCGGATTTGCTCCATAGTTCTAGATTGAGGACCCAGTACTCGGTTATGACATTCTCCGAAAATGTCCAAATCTGCACGGACGCTGCTTCTAAGGAGCTCGAACCCTTATTTTTTACTTTAAAATACAACGAAATATCAGCAGTTGCTGATATTGTTGTTTTAAACCAAATAAAAATTACTGAGAAACCCCAAAACCTCGAGCATCGGAAAGTATTGCAGCAAGGAATGGTAAAAGAGTCCTTTGCGAGCTGACACCTTAAAGAAATGAAAAATTGTAAATTTAAGGTGTGTGACTGCTTTATTATCATAAATGCATTTTTTAAGAAGAAAGCTTGAAGTATTTTTAGTAGCATAATTCTAAAAATATATGTTCCTGTAGCAATTCGCATGAGTATCATCAAACTCCTTGTTCAACGCACAAGTTTTTGAAAATTGTTACTTCTTCTTATTTCATCCAATTCAGTTGTTCAAAGGCAACGTGCCCCAGTCATAGGGATAAACACGGAAGAAAATGAGGAGCAGGCACGATCCTTTCAACTAAGAAATAGAGTTTATGTTTTAGTGAATAAATTTTTTCCAAATTGAATGACATTCTCCTATTCATTATAACAATCTAATGTCAACAAATAACGTGTGCTGAACTTCACTACTTTGACCAATCACTACCTCTTGGTGTTTTTCTTGAGTGGAACAATCATTCGTTGAGTACGGTATTCTAATTAATCCTCCCGCGAAGAGTACGGTACTGTTTGGAAAAAATTTTTCGATTGTTTTGTCATTTTTGAACAGTTTAAGCTCGCGCTTGGTCGTGATATTTAGGAGTACTACAAAAGCTCTTTATTTGTACACTGCTTTGCTACCTGAAATATGAAATTACTATATCTGTGTACTTGCGTCCGTCACGCAACACAGCGAGTGTGTTGTCTTGGTATCTGTGTTGTAAATGAAAAGAAATTATGTCCACCAATGATGTGCAACCGTAGTCCATGTGTTTTCTGTATTCACCTTTATAAGTAATTCTGATCCTGCAATGCATTGAACAAGGCGAACCAAGTAGTACCTTACGCCTTGAGGAGACAAGTTGGCCATTCATGGAAAAGAAGGAGAGAAAAAAGGAAGGCGAAAAGCATGTGGGCAAATTATATTTGAGAGGCAGAGATAACGAATGCTGATTTAGAAAAAAAATCGTGTAAGACGTATGTATAAAATGTAACATAATTGTTATTCATTTTCGTTATCACTTATGCAGTGCTAAGCGTATCAAAAAGTATGCATTGTTTTAGATTGGTAAGAAAGTTCTCGAACATTTTCAGAAAAAAAACCGCTATTTCTCGAAAAATAACGCATATACATCAGATAGGGAAACCATTCGATAGAGCAAAGCAAGCTCTACAAGATGGTATGCAAGAGTTCGCACCAGCTTCGACCCAGCATAAGTTTGCACCCAAAATCTGAGTCGTACTGGAATTCAAGAAATCGCGAAAAATTCATATCTTTGTTCAAGCAAATCCTACGGATCTCCAACTTGCTCACAAAAATTGCGGACCATATTAGACACTCGTATGCACCGTTCCTGTAATTTTTTCTCACCTGGAAGTCGAGAAAACGAAAATTTTCATGCTTGTATAAAAACGAAGCTGTGCTGTTTCCACCCATGTAATTGAATAGTACAAGCCCTAAGAAGTATAACGGTAAATTTGCAGCTTTCTACAGGAGCTCTAGTTCCCGAAAGTTACCGAAGTGAACGCTCCTTACCCGGGCCTTCCATGCTAAAATCAATAGTTTTCGACAACTAGAGCCTGTAGAAAGCTGAAAATTTACGGTTATACTTCTGAGTGCTTGTATTCAATCACATGGGTGGAAACAGCAGAGCTTCGTTTTTATACAAGCATGAAAATTTTCGTTTTCTCGATTTGCTGGTGAGAAAAAATTACAGGAACGGTGCATACGAGTGTCTAATATGGTCCGCAATTTTTGTGAGCAAGTTGGAGATCCGTAGGATTTGCTTGAACAAAGATATGAATTTTTCGCGATTTCTTGAATTTCAGTACGACTCAAATTTTGGGTGCAAACTTATGCTGGGTCGAAGCTGGTGCGAACTCTTGCATACCATCTTGTAGAGCTTGCTTTGCTCTATCGAATGGTTCCCCTATCTGATGTATATGCGTTATTTTTCGAGAGATAGCGGTTTTTTTCTGAAAATGTCCGAGCTTTCTAACCAACCATACGATTTCAACTGAAAAGCGTATTAATGTGCTTTCATAGCGGACGCAGCCATACACTCTCGCCTGTTCGCCAAACTTATGCAACTGGGAAACATTATTATAATTTTTTCAGTCTTGAATCGTTGAAAAAGCTCTAGTTGTACATCTTCAATACGGCACTTTATATTCTGCGGAAAACACATCAGCAATCCTTACCTACAGCTGCACGACAGAAAGTTATGAAACTCTTCAATGACGCTTGGCTTACATCGCAGTTTGAAACTCTTGAAACTCGTGTCATTTATTTGTCTCACTCGTCGGCGTTTCTTCTTTGAGTAATAAATAATTGATGCTAAAGAGCGCTTACCATAGATATTCGTTCACCTTCTGAGCAGCTATGTTCATATGAAGTTAGCAGAGAGCTTCAATTGTCACTACCATATTTTGAGTTTCTTTTGGGTTCGCTTAGGTACTTTTTAGCAGAACCTTCGCCATAACCACCAGCGCAAACTTTGCTTGTTACTGCCGTTTCCATGCTACTCATACCTCAAACAAGAAAGTGAAGTAATTGAAAAAGGCAGGTATAAATTTAGTTTTTCTGTACACCAAGATTACCGATGGTTCTCACATGTGCCCAATATAAGTATGTAGAAATATAGCCCTAGCCTGTAGCCAAACGTCATGTACCACATGGTCATAACCTTTTAGGAATCAGTTCCTACCCATTTAACCTGCCTACCAATGTAATTTGAGGATTTCTTCTTTAACAGTTTTGAAAATAAACATCAACATTACAATAATGAAATGCTGTGTGCAATGGACACCTTAGAATTGCCCAAAATAGAAGAGTGGGCTATCATAACTATGCATAAACTGTTTAATCGCTGAAGGCACCGTTCACCCAAACCTCGATTTCGAGGTTTTGTCCTTTTCAGCACCTCTTGTGCTCGCTGAGTCCGAATCCAGGCCTAAAATTGAACAGTCTCAACTGATTGAACGCCCTTCAGAATTTGCAGTAGACGAGCATTTCTTACGCCTTCCATCAGCCGCGGGCCAGCTGTGCGCGTAAGGCAGGGCAGAGACGCATTCTCGCATGACTCGACCAATTTTTTGAGCTTTGCCCGCTAGTCGAAATCACAGAGTGGGCTGGCGAACGTACCGCCCACACTCCGTGATTTCGCCTAGCAGGCGTTGCTAGGGAGGAGCCATCGTGGCGAAACTTCTTTTGAGAGAAACTCGAAGCGATTTCACTCGATCTCGCTTTAAAAGTGATTTCAGAAGCGCGAGCTGGGCAGTTACACAGTTGAGGAATCTGTTAGACAACCGTTAGACATCGAAATTCATAGACCCATTTTGGGTGGACGGTGCCTATAATATCTCTCTCCACCACAAATTTTTTGCTAACCTTCAGGCACTGTTTGGTAGAGTTTGCTTTAACTCAAATCTACAATATGGAACGAAACACCCGATCATTCCTCATTACTGTAAGATTACGATAGGAACTTAGTAACAGTTTTGAGCCATTGAGGGCCCTATTTTACCTCACAAAGCAAACAAAAGAACCTAAAAACTTTTACACTAAGCTAGTTAGAGTCGCTGAAAGTATATGAACTTCGTAAATCACCACAACTCTTCTTTTATAATTGCCAGGTAGACCGTAATGGTTGTCTTTATAACGCTCCCTAAAACTGTGATTACGCCATTTAAAAAGCTTTACAAACTCCTAAAAAGTTGAGTAGTGAATTTTACACGCGTCTTATCCCTGATACAAAAATTTTCACAATGTCCGAAAACTTTTTCTGAATTATGACTAATCCACAAAGACTGCAAGTCTAAACTTCCTACCACAATCTTACACTAATGAAGATCAAGCGGTTTGCTTTGATGTGCATCTAAGTTTAGAAAAAGCTCTGCAAGACGATACTTCAAGGTAAGCAAAAGCCTTTTGGAAGAAGAGATATTAACGATCAAAGTGTGTATACATACTTTTGGGACACCCTGTATTTCAAGCAACGAAACATGTGCCAACCAAGTAATTCAAGCAATCGTTTATATTCTTCTCCCAGCTAAATTCGCGTTCAGAAACACTTGGGTTTAAAAAGAAAGATGCATTGAAATCATTGCTAAAAGCGACCAAGATGTTTTGATAAGCCGTTGGTGTTTTGCTTTTATAAAAAAAATCGCTAAACATCTTGAGTCATCAAATGTCTCGTAAAACACAGAAAATAATTTTGAAAAAAACATGTCAAGGTGAGAATAAGCGTGTTGATTTTTATATTGACACGTAGCAGAGAGACAAACCTTACACTATCTATAGGAAAAAATTTTCTAGACTAAAGCAAATATCTTATGAGACTATATTGAAAAAAAAGGTCCTCATAAGGAAAAAGTAAAACCTCTGCCTAAGAATTTTCTTCACTAGAACATTCAGCACAAACTTTGCTCATCTAAAAAGTGGGTCACAAAACTTTTGCTATTGGTTTCATTCCCTAAGTTTACTTGGAATTATCTCGAAGTGGTCACACTCAATCTTTTTACTTGATTCACTTTTTGGAACCCGAGTCTATGAGTCAATTGAAGTCTAGCTATATTACGATTTACATGTTTTCCTCTTTTCAAAAAATCGAGTTTATGCATATCTCATAACACTCGAATACTACGACTTTGCACCGACCCGACTGCCTCACTACAATTCGATACCATTTTTCAACTCGTCAAATTGAAGGATAACACGCTTTACATTACCGTAATCTGCTCTAAGTCAAGGCGTTCGATCTGCTTCAAAAAGAGGAATACCACAGTCTGCTAGTGTAACAAATTTCACATGTAAAAAACATTTCAATACAAAGGAAACCTACAGGAAACGGTTTTCAGAAGAGGTATAGATGCTAAAAACACAATAGAACACGATTTTCTTCATGAAGTTTTTTCGACACTTTTCACTTGCATAACATTTTCCAAAGGAATGACATTTTGCAATTATTAACAATTTAGTATGCTTCGCAAACTCGTTTCCAAGCCAAGGCGGAGAACAATACATTGCTGTTTTGTGTGAACGAAAGTTGGGTACTGAACATTAACGACACGGAGGCGAAAGTAATGGATGACGAACTTATATCTTGTAAATCGCTAAACATATCTTCGCTTGCTAAATTTCGATCAACAACTGTGCATTATTTTTCAATAAATGAAATCATTATAATAGAACACTACTAGTTTTAAGGAGACGGTCAAGCATAGATAAAATTCCTAATCTTGAAATAACACCGTTTTCTCGCACAGATATCAAAATATGTCGCCTTAGCCCCAGATTTTCTTGCCAATTAAATTTTTATGTCAGGATACTACAGTACAAGATTTTGTTTTCAACACAAATCCTCGAAAGAGGTATGTGGATTAACCAAAAATTCATGTGTAAAATTGCTTAAAGTATTCCAAGTTTTGCCGTTTAATTTGTCTCAGTGACATTTAGAAGGGTAACGACTCAATTTGGTACCTTCTCGTGCATAATGTTTCTGCAATCAACAATTTAATATTTCTGGTCGCTGATAGGAAGTTGCTTCGTCTTTGATAAACCATTCCACTTTGATTTGCAAGGTGAGAAACAATCTGAGCAACTGCTGGAATGATGATGTTGAAAACGGATGCTTTCTTTTCATTGCGGACTGATGCTTAAAGCTGAATTAATTGTTTACAATGAACGTAAACATGTGTTTGGAGATTCCGGGTCTGAGTGACGTTATGGTGGGCAACGTTTTTTTTTTCAAAAAGCTGGAAGTTCAAAGCAATGTGTTTGATTAGATAATGGGTAGTTTTCCTGCAATTGCTAAAATATTTATTTTGTTCCTGTCGCACTTTTTTTGAAACAATAATTTTCTTCTTCTCTCGGTAGATTCGCTGACATTATTTCTGGTAAAATAGAAATAAATAAGGCTAAGTGTGCTCAAATTATGGAAATAGAAACGATTAGACGAGCAACTGAGCTTGAACTTTGATAATTTTTAGCAAGTGCTGCGGGAAAGTCTGCTATAAAATTTCGATAACGCCTTATATATTAGTTCGTGCTAAAGCCAAAGTCGGAGCCAAATACCCCGCGCCCGGGTTTGGGGTAGTGAGAAACGCGCGGAGACGATGAGTAGAAGAGAAAGACCAGAGCCGACGGGGCATTTGGCTCTGGTCGTAGATCTCAGCGAGGTCTCAACCAAACCTTGCAACATTATATGTCATTCTAATCGTCATGACACGTCTAAAAGCGCTGAGAAACTCGCAAGCCTTTTTGCCCTAAAGTTAAAGGCAGCGTACGGGCAAAACTGACCTACCTCAGATTTTGGCGCAGGCGGATAGGGGGCCCTCCATTTGATCTAAAACAGCCACTCCGCGCCGAAAATGCGAATTCTGCAAGCCAGGGGGGCAGCCCAAGCGCCGCTCCCCTTCCTCCTTTCGCTCCCCTAACACCTTGTTCGGACGAGTCGTCGTTGTCCGCTAGAAAGCGCGCGTCACTTGTCGTTTCGTAGGGCAGAACTGTTCTGGCGTCATTTCCGTTCTCATTCCCCGTGCTTTGAATTTGCATGTGTTGCGGCCTTTTTTGTATGTAATCCTTTTCTTTTCAGATGGTGGGGTTGGCAAGAGCAAGGTTGTGATCTGTTGGACAATGGTTCAACTAGGACTGAATCCGAATTTGAGGATGGCGATGAACGCAGAAGAAATGTATTTATTGTTGAACATGAACAAAAGCGAGCTCTCTTCAAGATTAGTTCAGGGACTAATGCACCTCAAAGGTAAGATTTGTTCAAATGAGACAGAAAGAAAGTGTTTTATATCGTTTTTTATAGATATCTCCAGTGTTAGGTTGATACGTGCTGTGATATGAAATGTGCATGATGTATGCATCTTCCATTTCTTAATATTTGTAAATATATAAACCTGATTCTTCAATGAGGAGCATTGTTTGTGTTAGCACTTGTCAGATCACCTGCTGCTCATTAGTCCGAAAGTTCTTACATAGCATTCCACACTCTTTTCAAAGCGCCGACTTCATCAGTCTCGTTCCTCTTCCCTCTCATCCTCTTTCTCACAAAAATTTACTGTTCCATTTCAGCTTACGAAGATATGACTCTACTCAACATACACGTTTGACCACTGCACTGAAGCCTGATTCGGAATCATACAAAAAGATGCGACAAGTAGTGTAAGTAAATTTTTATCATACCCCCTTGTCATGTTTTTTGTTCCCATCGTCTTGAATGGACGTCGTAGAATTGATAAATCAGTTTATTGTTCATATAGAAGTTGTTGGATGTTTAATTTTTATACAAGCCACATACAAATTGCACAAGCACATTACAATCATTGCTTTGACTCCCGTTAGCCTTATCTTGCTATTTCACCGACTTTGTTCTCCTATTTTTTTGGAATAGGCATTAGCTCAAAATTTTGTGTTTGTGACCAATTGATATTATTCACGGAATGTTGGCTAGATAGAAAGAAAAATACTTCTTACTTTCTGAAGATACATCATTCATTATAATGTGTAAAGTATTCATTTTTTTTTCAGCGGTGAAGATCAATTCTTTTCGACGCAAATACTCTTAATCATGGTTTGCATTATTCAACATTGCAAGCAATGGAGAAGCTCGCTAGCGATGTGCAGGACAGTGAGTGCCCTCAGTTTCTGAGTCTAGTACTTCACATGGTCATTGTTGTGTTTGGTTGTGTGTGTGTGTTTGTGTGTGTGTGTTGCGTGTGTGTGTTTATGTGTGTGTGTGCATGTGTGTTGTGTGTGGGTGTTGGGTGTGTGTTGGGTGTGTGTTGTGTGTGTGTCTGTGTATGTGTGTGTGCATGTGTGTGTGTGTGTGTGTGTGTGTTGTGTGTGGGTGTTGTGTGTGTTGTGCGTGTTGTGTTGTGTGTATGTTGTGTTGTGTATGTGTTGTGTGTTGTGTATGTGTGTTCTGTTTTTAGAGTCAAGCGACGAGAGCAATTCCATCGACGTCGTATGTTTTTGATTCAGATGCACCAATCCATTACATCAACGACAAAAACAAGCGATTCAACAAAAAGCTCGAGAAGTTTCATGGTCAGTATAGGAAGACATCAGACAAGGTAGGTGTATTTACAAGTTTGAGGCTTACTTGTCCATTATAAGAGACTACTCTGTGTTTTTTTTTAAATTTCTGAGGGTGAATCATCTTCATTCTCATTATAGCTCTACTTTCAAAAAAGAAAGTACGCATGTAAACGTAATTTTCTTCTTTTAGGTGGACCTCGAACGTGGAACTGCTATCTAGGGAGGAATGGCCAATTATTACTGTTCTTTCGAAATTTTATCATTTCTTAATTCTTAATCTATGTATCTTTTCGTAAATTTGAATGCCAACACTATCCTGTATGTTCGTTTTCACTGACAAAAATAAATATCCAGATAAACTACATGTAGTTCACAGTCCAGCGAATGTGAAATTGCTGTAGGCAGAGGCGCTAGATTTCTTGAAAAGCTTGAACTCGTGCTAATAGGTGATTTGGTTTTGAGCATACCTTCGAATTGTTCTTTCAGGACAATATATGAGGACTTTATACATATAACCGCAGAAAAATACTTACCTTTCCTTGATACTTCACATAACTTGTACGCAATCATGCTATCGCACTCATAGGCGAGACACCGCTTAATTTATCCCGTTGAGGATTACTTCGGTGTATATTGAGGTGTTTACCCCTTGTACCATAAATTTTAGTAGCTGCTTTTATACGAGGTTCATCTTCGTGCAGTGCAATTAGGGGGTCTGCGTAGGTTTGCCGTTTGTTATGTGTTGATGTGATGTATGCTTTCTGCTGTTTACGCGCTCTGCGTACGTTGCCTGTGCAGTCGTGGTGAGCCGCCTAAACTGCGTGTGTTGTGCTTGCTCTCGACCGCATAGCAAGATTAGAGCTGCTCTTCACAAGAGGTGAACCGTATCCCGCTCATCGCAACAGGTGTCCAACATCGCGAACACGATTGCGTAAGAACATGCTGTCACGAATCGTGCCAACAAGAGAATCTCAAATCAACCCTTCGTTGTTATGACAATGGTTGTCAATGGAAGTGCGACCAAAATCTGTAAAACTTAGTGGTAAAATTTATGTCCGAAGAACATCTAGAAAGTACATGATTTCTTTCAACCAGGCCATATCGAATACAATGGATTTGTTAAAACTGGAGAAAAAAATCGCTATTAAAAGTATGGTCTTAGGGTGCAGCCTAGCATTCGGTCACGGTAAGCCAAAGGCTTTCTTTTGATGAAATATCTCAAAAAAAGAAGCGAAAAGAAGAAATCAGCTGTGCACTGCTAGTTATAGGCAAGCTCGTCAGATCCGTAAATTCTGCAATATAATGCAATGCAGTTAGGAATATGGGTTGTGTGATTCTTTTCTTTTGACTAAGAAAACTTCGCGCTAAAATTTTTTTTGAAGGATTGTGATTTGTGAGGAAACGATCAGTTGGATTGTGATTTGTGAGGAAACGATCGATCAGTCAACAAAAATCGTAGAAGTTGCCCGACAAATAAAAAAAGCTGTCCCCATGTAGCAAAAAAGTGATTTACCACTCCACATCAATGAAGTCTGGACCATAAAGGTATTTCGCTGGAAATGCCTGTCTCTGAGACTCGTCGGAAATCGGTGTCATAACTATCCCCTAAGGGCATCGGTTATCTTTCTGCTTGCTTTATCACGCTTTTTGCTCAATTTGCACTCCGTCATGTGCTAAAAATCTCGGGAATGATAAACACTTCCTTTTTTCATGTAGACGACTGTGGTGGGTATAAAGGACGAATGAATCATTGTCAGAGCAGAATGGCCAATACCGCCATTTTCACTGCATTCTACGCAGTTCAACGCAACAACAGTTATGTTATGTTTATGATAATCCCAAATTCACTGATCTCAAGAAGTTCATCATATGCCAATTTTTCGAGAAAACAACAATAGCTAAACAAGACTGAGTCCTTACAACAAAAAATGAGGGTGGTACATACCAATACATAAGCTGACAAAATGGACAGTGTATTTCAGGTTTGCGCGTAGTCCATATTCATCCCCCACCACGAATTTGAAAAATACTGTCGCAGAGTGACTATTCGCTGAAAATATATGAGTGATATCAGTATTATAAAGACAAACGAATGAAGAATTATTTGCTATTTGTTCGATATTGCCGAAATGCAGTGATTATTCTGACTTTTACCGCGAGAAAATCAAGCGGAATCACATAACGCAAGCTTTCAGTATCATCTTATCGCGATGTCCAAGTTCTATTCCTGCATTGTTTGTGGAAACAAGGTCGATAGTCGCTTGGCGACACGCACTTCTAAGAGCCAAATCCACAACGCTATATTCCTATCGGCGCTGAAGGTATACCTATCAGTCGCAGAAGAACTACTGGAAATTTACTTCTCGGAGTTCATTACCACCCAGAAGTTTCTATGTACCGCTCACTTTGTCAACAGCGTGAGTTTTTCTGCTTGCCCTCATCCAGAAAACAACTTACAAAAATCAGGCACAACATCTGCTTGCCGATATAGTCGTGGGGGGTGGAAAACTGTCATACACAACCGAAAATGTGGCGTATCTCAACGAGAGCGAAATTCCTTCACATATGATGGAGAGACTCAACGTTGCTATTACCTCTTTTGCAGTCAGTCCAATCTTGTTTGTGTGGAACAAAAAATTAATTACATTTGATAGGGCAATATCGTGCTGAGAAGATCCGATGTGGGACGGTACATAAACTTCTACATGAAAAAATATTATTGTTCTCGCTTCAACTGTTGGAATGTTGTTGGCCAGAGTCAAGATCAAGATCAGAACCAGAATGTCCAGAATCAAGATCAGAACGAAAACAGTCAGAATCCGCCCGAAGAGGTAAAACTCTCTTCATACTTACCGATGACGTACCCAACATTGAGGGGGGGGGGCAAAATTTTTTTGCGATGAAGATGCGTGGCCTCAGCCACGCGCTTCGAAATTTTTTATAAGGCTAAAATGAATTGTTTGCCCCCGCTTCCCCCACCCCTCTCCTCTTTACGCCATTGATACATACTTGTAAACACAAACACATTCAGAATGTGCCTGAAGAAATACCTCCCGTTCCTGAAAATATGATGGACCAAGTCATGCACAGTCCTCCGCCTGTCAGACACGGCGACTCAGGGTCCTCGAAAGTAACGGTTAGTCTGTAAAAGGGAATAAACGAGCAAAATCAAAGCGTAATCCGATAAGGGAGCCTTCAGGACAGCTCCTATCATCCCACACCGGAAAAGCTCAGAGCAGCGCTATCGGATAGCGATGATGAAGCTCCACGGAAGGAAAGCGAACCCGGGGCATTAGACAAATTTTACCTGGTCTCCGGGCGCAAGCTACTCGAGCTTTTCTTACGTAGTCGGTGTGGCTGCCAAAACAATGCCGATGGAGTCTGGCTGGAAACTTACGGGACAGCTCCCGTAATCTATTATACCAGTCCCGGCTCAAAATCTGGAATTGAACGCTGGGAAGGCCAGGATAGGGTAGGCACGACCATACAGGAAAAGATGTTTACAGGGAACATGCTCTGCTCGGCATCTGCAATAACAACTGGCGTACGCATGAACGTAATAATGCATATCGAGCAGTGACGGACAATGAACGCAATTTTTCAGAAAATCAGGCAATGGGCAGACGAAGCCGGTATAGCTGTCCCGTCGAAATCGACTTTCTACTCGGTTTTTACTGACATGCGCCAGGCTGTTTCCACCGTTTATGAGGCCCACCAAAACGCACTGATTCGATTTATAAAGTCCGAATACGAGGTAGATATAAACAATGTAAAATCGAATATATATATATGTATCAGTGGCCGGCTTTCGGGGTGCTTCTCATTCCGGGCCCATAACCCCCAAATCTAGAAAAACCCAAAAAATTTTCTTACAGAGCTTATTTGAATTTTCAAAAAGAGAATTATTTCGTTTATTTACAATAATTAACAAATCACTTGCACAGTTTTATAACTCATGTAATAACTTTTGAGAATTTCGGACATTCTCGGGACCCTCCCCCCCCCTCGCCCCACTCCATCGGCCCGGCACTGATATATATATACATGTGTATATTGTATATATGAAGATGACGAAGACTTGCCCGTGTTTAGAGCGATGGCCAGTCTACTTGGGACATCCAAGTAGACGGGTCGTTTGACTCTCGCGGACACAGTGCTGCGATTTGCAAAGTCCTGGCCATAGACCAGCGGACAAAACTGGTAGTGCATACGGAAGTATTGCACTACTCGGAAACAGGTGCAATCCTACAAATCTCAGATAATTTCTGTTCAAGTATTACTTTAGATCATAATAGTGTAAGAATGGAGAAGGAAGGTTTTAAACGCCTTTTGCGTTGGTTCCGCTCCAAAAATATCGGCATACGCTCAATCTCCACAGATCGGAGTACCACATACGGAAGCGAGATTCGAGCATTCAATTCTGAGAACGCCACCAACATCACATGGCTTCTGGATACATGGCATATCGCCAAACGGTTGAGTGCTAAAATCCGTGCGGTAAGTCGCTGGGATTAGGTTATGAGCAGTGGTCCAAGCTAGGGATAGTAGAGGAGGTGTAGAAGGAGGGGAGGGGGGGGGGGGAAGCGAAACTTCTATATCAAGATTATGGACTGATGTAATGATTTTTCATAAAAATTCAGAGCATCTTGAAAACTTCCGATGTCGCAATGGCAATTCATTGAAAAAAATCCCTCGTCCCCTCCCACTCCCCGTAAGTTGTCTCGGACCGCACACAGGCTATGAAACAGATTTTGAGGCAGCCAAACGCAGAGACTCCGTTTGCTTGAAAGAGTGGATCACCCCACTCAAAGCACACTTGTACTACGCGGTACGGCAGGGAGCAAGCACCGAAAATCCCGAGTTGACAAGACAGGTATTCAATACCTGTCTTTATCACGTGGCCGACTGTCACTCATGGAATCAGGTAAAGTGCCTGCACGAAATCGCCCGGATCGCTGTAGGCTGAACGCACGCGAGCGTGCCTGCAACGGCTGCCGAGTACGAGCGCTATGATGATACATGCGCGCAAATGCCAATGTTAGCCCGCAAGAGACACGCACGCAGGTGCTCATTCCGGACGATTCCGTGCGGTCAACTATAAAACAGCAGCACAGGGAAGGACATAATTTAGGATGCAGATACGGGGCCGCTCACTAGCTGTGCTCACGAAGCACTGGAGGAAGACGGTAGAGACAAACCGGTGATACCAATTGGAAGCCCGGCGCATAACCAATTAAAATCTATAATTCTGCAACGGGAATTCCAGGATGACTTGTCCCACACAAGTCCCTATGGA